CCCATGTACCCAGAACCTTGCCTGGAACAAACCCACGTCCTTGGATTCAGAAGACAATCCAGAATCGTGCCTAATTATAACCCTAACATTCAAGGATAGTAGTAGCTAGATAGGCACGGTTCTTAATGCGACAATCATCAAGTACACTTTGCCAGTACGGCAGTGCTATGTATCGCACATACAACTCCCAAACTAAACCTGCAATACTCGCCTTTGCTAATGTTGTCTTTTCATGCACGATGTTCTACTTTCTGATCACTACTATGAGACAAGCCATTAGAAAGCAGCAACATTCAGAAGAGTTACAAAATGTTACTCTACAAGCAGAGGTTTGGGTTTGTTTTTTTGGCGTTTTTTTAGGCTTTTTTTTATCGGGGTTTCTTTTATGCAATGGAATTTTTGTCACTCTTTGGGGTTAAAAACACGCCAAAAATAACCCAAAACCCAAACCTCTGCTTGGAGAGTAGCAAACTGTGGCAATTATAAAGCACAGATTGTTTGGGGAAAAGTTGCAACATGAAACAACAGGTCATATAACAGTATCTGAATACCATCCGTTTTTACATTGATTTTACATACAACGTTTGTATGTAACAACAGAAATAAATGTAGCCATGCTTAATTTGACTTTTCCTTAGTAACGATTAATTCGACGCGACGTCCCTATAAATTTTATTTCATAAATGAAGTTCTTCTACATGCTATACCCTTTTTTCAATGGAACATTCCAGCGAAAGTTCTGTAATTTGATAAACCAAATATAGTCTTGATGGAAACGCGTCGTATTAGAATTATTAACAGTGTTTTCGTAGTTATAGTAGTTCTTTTCAACCGACATACAAGTTGATACGTACAGCTGTTTTGTTCTTGACTCCTTGTATGTTCGCCCAAAGAAGGAACAAAAGCAGATGTCAAACATTACTAAAAAGAGATTCGGTAAATGTTTATTTCTTAAAATTGAATACCCGTCGTTTTATTAAGAACGTAATGACTACATACAGTATGTTGACTCAAAAACGCCCACATCCACACACCTGAAATTAACTTCGAAGCATGTCTTATTTTCTTAGAATCTATTTTAGGTCCCTTTGCGATATTGTCCCATTGTATAGCCAGTGTCAACGGCCTGCTATACCATATGCCGGGCTAGGGGCAACCAACCTGGCTTGCGGGTATTCCACGCCCCTGTACTATCGGGTAGCTGTCAATTTTAGGATTAACTAGCTCCTCAATCGACCAATTCCACCCCCTACCTGGTCGCTGATTGCCTGTTGGTCAACCAATTCGTCACCTTATGCGGCTGTTCTAATAACCGCGCACATCCCGTTGGGAGTCAGGTACACATTTTGATTCCGTACGAATATTGAAAAATATAACATCAGAGGAGGGAAGGAGTTGAATTGCAATTTTATTTTGATGATTCTATGATGATGTTGTGAAATAAGTCGAATTGTGTCCTAGTTTTAGGACTACGGCCGAGTTTGCGATGTATACATACACCTACGCGTTTCCGGAGGGGCGCGGTGAGTCACCTGTAACAGCGTCCCGCTAGCCCATTCCGGTCTTCATATGTCACTACGTGCGCTGTAAGTCAATTTTAATTACGCTGTGCAAATATGCTCTATTTTCGCACCTAGGACTGTGACCTCACAGCTGAGCAAACGAACATGTTGCCGCGGTATTATAAAGTCATCACTATACAGGTAATTGTAGGCTGTTAAAACACAGCTCAAACTCTCCAATGTGGACACTGCGGCATAGCCGGGTATACGTCGTGATTTTTTACACAAATACCGCTCTTTATTCTCCGGGACTGGCCTGCAAACACAACGGGAAAATTAAGGAGGTGTGGATGAATGGGAAGTTTTCCCCGCTCTGCTACAGGACGTGTTGTTCGCACCTGCCCGGCCCGGCGTGTTTGTGGTGTGTTTGCCGAGCCCGACGCGTAGCAAACACGGTCCGGCTGCGGGGTTCTGCGGCGATGGCACGTTCCGTGTACCGGGAGTGGAATGCCGCGGTTTATTGGTGAAATAGTGGGACGTGTTGTTCCGTACGTCGGCCCTGATGATGCCAGCTGAGCGCAATTAGTGACCGGTTGTTTGTCACAGTACACACACATAACACTCGGATCCGTACGTGTTAAACTACATGGTCACAAAACTGACATATGTACCTTTTCAAGACAATCCACAATCACCCTCTGTTTTAACTCCAAACAGTCGACAAGCAAGCACATTCTAACCCGCCTCTAAAATCCTCCAAGAGGGTAAAGAAAGTTATCCTAGAAATGTCATAAAGATAGCTTGATGCTACGAATGTTTTACACCAGTTTGGAGTTTTCAGTATAAGTGTGGACGAACGGCTTTCAGAACTTTTTGCGAAAGCTTCAAGAAACAACGCCTTAATGAAGTCTTAATATTCTTCGTAGTCATTTCCCTCACAGTTGATGTAAGAAATTGTCTCTTTAAATTGCGTTTTATTGCAGGTCTTTTGGTAACTAAGAAAGAGGAAGGAGAGAAAGAGCTATTGTCATTGGTCCGTGGGAAGATGGAGCTTAATGAGTTGTAATTGGGGACTAATGTGTTTGAGAACCAACGCACACAACTCGGTACACTTTGCCCGTGTAACAAAAGACAAGTGCACATTTTTCACCCGTGAGACCTCCGGTTCTTGACCCTGACAGATTTATCAAGAAGATTAAGAAACTGGGAGGGCAACAGGGTTCGTGGCTAGTGTTGGGTAGCCTCCACCACGCCTTCCTACGGGGATACGGACCTTAAACTTCGGCAAAAACAAGGAAATAACTAGTTGTTCAATAAAGTCAGTCCCTGGGAAGTTCAATTTCCTAATTATTCTCTCTATTTCGCTAAATTTTACTGTTTTTAAACCCACGTTGTTTGAATGGTAGGCGGGGGCAGGTAGTTTGGATTGACTTCGGGTGTCACTTCATACATTTTAAAGCTACACGGCACCTTCTGGTGTAAGAAATGTTATATTAGTAGAACTTTCTTACACTGCATACTGATAGTTTGAATACTGTTGTGTGTGTTGCAGGATCCTTTTTAACTCACTGGCATCTCCTTATGACTCCAAATTTCACTCTAACAACCTCCTTCTATGAACCAGTTATACACCAAAAATGGCCTTTTCTGTTGTTCTTTACCTTTGTTTATCTTTTGTTGTCTATTTTTGACTAGAGAATAGTTTAAAATATACACTTATTAGAACGTACTAAAGGGTTCAAAGGCATCCGTTAAAGACGGACACAGACGGATCCTTACATCTGCTTGAAGATTTAAAATCCACAAAAGACGACTGCCCCCCCCCCAAACTCCGTTTGCTTGTATATTAAACAGGAAACCTGCCATAACATCAAAGACACTAATTAGGGGTGGGGAGTTCTCAGCAAGCAACCTTATTAACATTAGTATTCCCTTGTTATTTGGAGTGCAGTAGTGTTCGTGGGTTACTGCTGTATACATGGGGATTACCGTGGGTCCACACTGCACAATTAGTGCTTGTCTCGTTCAGCCACATTAGCTACGCGACATGTCCGCAGACGTGCACATACTCTCTTAATGTGCACACCCATCAGGATAGTTTGAACACGGTAGTGGTGGGTACACAGGGACTAAACCACATCACTTTTATCTTAAATCATCACGTAGTTCTGTGGCAAACCGTTAAATATAATATGGTGCCGTGGTTCTTTAG